GGTTACTTGGGAAGGGGTGGGGGGTGGGGGTGGGGGGAAGCATCTGACCATCTTGATCAGATGCGGACACTTCCAGACACCTATGTCCCCTGGTTGTATCTTGGCCCTTCACTGGGCAACAACTTTGATACCAAGAGGGAGTCAGAGGCCAGTGGCATACAGCTGGGCCCAGTCTAGGAGGGGTAGAGGAAGGGTCTAGGCACTGAGAGGTCCCAGATACTGACTGAGACTGTCTCCATGCCTCAGTGCCTTACCTTACCCACACTCCACACCTTTGCTGCTCTGACTTCCAGTGTGCTTCTTCCTGGGGTTCCTCCTTGGGGCTTCTGGAAACACCCAGCCCTTGACTTGTTCTGTTTTCAGCCATCTGCAAGAAACACATTGGAAAAGTAAGATATCTCTTAGGGCCTCCCTCACCTCCTCCACTGGGGATCAAAGGCTGTGCTTTCAGAGAGAGAGACTCTTCAAGGACCCCAAAGGTACCAATCATCAAACACCTCCTTTCACCCTGGGAAGACTTTCTTTCTGCCCAAGCGTTGAGTATGAGGTGAAACCCGTGGAACCTGCAACTTGCAGAACCTGGAATGCCCTCTGAGTCCTCATCCCATGACAGCCTCGTGTGATGTACAAAGCAGCCTCTGGAGACCACACAGCAGGCCAATGCCCCCATAACCTGCAGGCAGCACATGGCCACACCAACTCACTCTGGCTTCCTCAGGACAAGGGCCATCTCCACTTAGGGACTGCCCACACTGTCCACACAAGCTCCAAGCATGACTGTCTGTAGGATGTCTCTCCATTGCCCAGGCTGCACTGGGCTTTTTCTGTAGGTGGCCTGTGGAACAAACAGACTGTGAATGCTATGGGGTGGGGTGGGGTGGGAAAAGTGGTTCCCAGGAAAAATATCTGAAAGTTCAAAGTGGATGCAAGACTTGACTGTGGCATTTGATTAGCATGAGGACCTAAAAGATGTGATTATATGTTTCCAAAATTATCCTGTTGGATAGTTAGTGATATGAAGTCTTGAGGAAGGAGGAGAACATATGGAAAAGTCATTTTAATTCATAGCCCTATTGTCAGGTTGGTGGCCACACCTTTAACACAAACGCTTGGGAGGCAGAGGCAGGCTGATCTCTATGAGTTCCAGGCCAACCTGGTTTACATAGTGAGACCCTGTCTCAGAAAACAAACAAGAACTGTATAGCTCCTTTTCCCTCCTTTGGGGGCCTCCCACGAGTGGCTGGGAAGCCTTGCCAGAGCTGTTCCTTTCCTTGTCTCAGCACTGTGCTGAGGTCCTCTAACACTGTGAGGGACACTGGCACTCAGCAAAGGCAGGCCTTGGACATGGCATGGCCTTCCATAGCAAACTAAAAGACTAGCCAAGTGAGCACAAAGCAGGACACAGTAAAGCCAGGTTACACCTTAATATTCCTAGGTCTGAATCCTGCCTGGACCCAGGTAGACTGTTGGGATCCTGAGGCCCAAGGCCACTGGCCTATGGGACCAGAGCTATGGTGCCCTAGTCTGTCATCCAGAGCCTGGGATGAAGGCTGAGGTGTCAGGCCACTGCAGGAAGGACCCTGGACTTCTCTAATGGCCATGCTGGGGTGCTCCCAAGAGCCTTGCAGGAGCCATCTTCTGACTAGGGAGCATCGAGAACTGGGTCAGACAGTACCAAGCTCCACCATCTTGGTCCACGTGCTTCAGTTCTCAGGCCCCAGCCTCTTCACCTGCAGGGTGGGTAATGAGCATGTTCACCTCAAGAGATAACAGGGTCCCCAAGTGTGGTATAAGTCCTGGTTAGCTTCAGTATAACTAGTACACACATGGTCACAGGGTGTGGTCAGAGAGAGTGACCAGGATGGTATTAGGCCTAACAAATGTCCACAGAGCCCTGAACAACAGCCAACAGAGGCTTGACTCCAGCGAATGGAAGGCCATGGAAATGGGCTCTGCCTTCCCCCTGTTCACCATCACCTTTGGACCCCTGGGAACCCCACCGGTCCCTGCTTCTTCCTATACTGGTGAACTTGGAATTCACTCTCTCCAGCCCCAAATGTGGAGAGTGCCTTGGTGTCTGACAAGACTTGGCATCCCTCCTGCTTCTGAGGGTAGATGCTGAGCAAGGAGTGGAGGGGTGGAGCTTTTTAACCCAGGGCTGTGACCCAGGGGTGGGAAACTCCGAGGTAGCATCAACTCACCAAGAGCCAGCCAGGTCATGCCAATCCCTCAATGTCAGCCCCAGGGCAACCCACAGAATAAGAAGCAGACTCTGCCACCCCCTGAAAATCAGGAGTTCTGCCCTCAGGGAGGCCTCAGGGCCAAGTATATGGTTCAAAAGAATCTGATATGTGTAAAACTGTGGTGTCCACTAATAAGGATGTTTCTGTCGGTGCTGATTTCTAAGATCTTGGAAATGTCTATATAAATCAAGCTACAGCTGAAATGACCAAACCAAGTATTGTCTTTAATGTCCCCAAAAGAGCAGCTGAATCATCTCCTATAGGCCATGGAGTCGGCCAGTCTTCTAGCCATGAAGAGGTCTGTGGTCATGGAAGGGGGCCATGAACATCCATCCTCTTCTACTTTCCCTGGGGACCTCCAGTCCCTGCTTGACCACTGGACAACAGCTTTGGACAGGGTCCACTGGATGTGGGGGAAGCTCCTGGAAAGATCAACAGAGGGATGGCCCACAGACTGTTTCTGAGGACATTACCTGGAGGAGGCAGTTCCTTGGCCTCCTGTGGCTTCAGCTGAGAGTCTAGACTATCATCTTTCTTGATGACCTGTGCCAACAAGATAGAAGGAGAGATATACCAAAGAGTACAGGAGCCACCTGGGGAAAGGACTAGGATGACCAGGGGCTACCAGCACCACGGGAGCTGGTACATGGGCACCTAAGAGTCCCGACCAAGATCAAGCTGTAAACTGGCAGAATGGTAGAGAGGTTCCCCAAACCAGCAGGGCTGTGGAAAGGGGCTTCCTAAAAGTTGCATACAGGGAAGGCTGGGTGTTTCTGATGTTCAGGGTCCAGAGAACTTGAGTGCAGCAGATCAGGGGGAGAGACACAAGGCTGTTTTCCAGGCTCTGAAAGACACAATTGCTTCGGTCACTCACACTGACCAGCCTGTGTAGAACCCAACACTTAAGAGGAATCACACAGTTTGCTACTTTGGAAGTGAGGCTTCCCCTCTCTAAAGACCAGAGTTCCATGTAGTCTCGAGCCCCCACTACTGCTCTGAACACTCTCCCCTCCACACCTGCCTCATGTTCTGGTCATAATGATGTCTGGTCCTCTGTCTCTGTGCCCAGACCTCTTCAGCATCTCCTACTGGAGTGTCTGAGGGGGGCCAGCTCCACCCTGTGTCCCCCAGACTGTGTGCCTAGGTACTCGGGGTCTAAAGACACTGTGCTCAAGTCATAACCTGCAAATCTGGGAATGAGATCATATCTGTAAGAGGGCCTTTGCAGGCATAGTTAAGAATTTCGAGACAAGCTTATCTTAGAGTTGGGCAGGTTTTAACTCCAAAAGAGATGGGAGAGGAATTGGACACCAGAGAAAAGAGACAGGCACAGGGAGGCAGACACTGGAGACAACCTTAGATCTGGAGCCAAAAGGATCTAGAAGAACCCTGCCCTGGAGTCTTTGGAGAGAATATAGATTTCCCACTTTTGGTCTTCAGAATGTGAGAGCATTAGTTTGTTTGAGCCATGCAGTTTACAGAGCTCTATTGGGTGGCAGCCTCCAGAAATAAGTACAACATTGATCTCATCATAGGGAAAAGACTGAGGAAAAGGAGGGGAGGAACATGGCAGAGGCAGAATGGGGCCCAGGCTGAGCAGGCAGCACCCTCATCTTCCTGGATTCTTCCTGGTGGGACAGAGAGCAGACCTGCCAGGCCACAGTGAGATGGGGACAGCCAGGAATCATGTTAGACTGATTTCTGCTAATGTCTCTGCCTGGGGGGTTCTGTCCTGAATCAGGAAAACAGAGTCCCTTTATGCCAGAGAAGGGCATGTTCAGTCCTAATCCTTGCCTGGCAGCAGGAGGACATGGCTAGACCTTGCTGCTCTAACAAGTTTGTGTTCTGGCCTGCCTGTGGACAGCCCCAGGCCTGCACTGAGTGTCAGGTCGTGTTAGCTCTGAGCAACTGCACCTACCAGGAGCCCTCTGCAGCAGGAGAGCCTGTTTGGGCAGTTCCCTGGGGCACCCCATGTCCTGTGTCTCCAAGTGTTTCTAGGGGCAGGCTTCCTGAAACTCTGCAGCGATTCAGATGTGCCCATGGAGGCCTGGGTAGCCCAGGTCACACACTGGTCTGGTGGCCTGGTATGAGGGACTGACTCACCCCAAGCTTAAAGCTGTCCCAACAGCAGGATGGGGCTGACTGATCGAGTGATTGTTTTTGGCTGGTCATTGTCACTGCCCTGAACTACCTTGGCTGTCAGATCCACTCTCCACAGGTAGACTTCCGGTCCTAGGAGTGATATCTGCCCACTTCACCCTCAGAGGCTGCAGCTTATCTGCAACTGGAGTTGTCTGGGGAGGTGTCACTTCCTTCTGCGCAGGGGAGAGGCTGCAGGACAATACACAGTAGAATAGACGTGAATGACACCCAGATGTTCCACCCAGGGTGCCCATCATTGACCACAACACTCAGCAGACCCTATCCCTAGAACTACAGAACCAGCTGTGGCCAGTGGCCAAGCAGAAGACAGGGTCCTGGTCCCTTTTCACTCAGCAGCTTCCCAAGCAAGACCTGTACCTCAGGTAAAGCAGTTGCTATGGGACACGGGTGGGAGCCTGGAAGCCTTTGACCCTTTACCTTGTTGCCTAGGCTCACCCCCATGTGGATACCAGTCAGCCTCCCTCTTAGTATCCTGGGGAAACTCTAGAGGTTCAAAAGGCAGGGCTCTGTCTGGGGCAACTTCTGAGTCCCAGCACTTTCACCAGCAGCAAGTGCTCTGTCCAGATCAGTTCATGGCCAGGAACAGTCATGCTACCCTGGCCCAGCCTTCACCCTGCTGACAGGCACACAGAGGAGGGCTCGGAGGGACCGGTCTTGCCAATGCTGGTAAGAGGTCCGAGAGAAAGCTCTAGAAGATTGCCTCTCTTGCAGACCAGCCTGAAGTAGGTGATTCATAGAGGTGGGCTCATTCAATACCCACCCCCACCCTCAAGATGGAGGAAGGGAGCCCAGGAACTAATAGCTAGTGTCTGGGTGGTAGTGGGTGCCTGGGGAAGAGGGGACTGCCAGGATGAGAACCACCTCCACCCCTAAAGTGTTGCTTGGCAGAGTGGAACTGAGTGTTTTCTGTTGTGGAATGTTTATTTAACCATGTAAAGGTGTGTTACATGGCATTTGTCTAATGATGCGAAGATGTGTTGCTTTCGTTTATGCTGCATTTGTTAATGTAAAGATCTGTTGCTTTGCCTGCCTAAGGCACTGGATTGGTCCAACAAAAAGCTGAATTGTCACTAGCTAGGCAGTAGAGGGATAGGTGGGGCTAGTGAGCAGAGAGAAGAGAAGGGGAAGAGAATGAAGGGAGAAAGAAAGGGAGACACCAGTCAGGCAGTTGCTAGCCAGACACAGAAGAAACCGTGAAAGTAAGATGTACAGAATGAAAGAAAGGTAAACAGCCCCGAGGCAAAACATAGATGAAGAGAAACAGGTTAAGAGCTAGTGGGACAAGCATAAGATAAGACCAAGCATCCATAACTAATAATAAGTCTCCATGTCATGATTTGGGGGCTGGTGGTCTGAGAAAGCCTGCTACAATTTCCAGCATGGGGAAGCCAGGACGGTCCTAATGGGAAAAGGCCTGCTGCTTCTTCCACCAGCTTGTGATCAAGGGACGCTATTCATACCCCTCATCTGAGCATGGGCAGGAACCTTACTCCCTTACTGCCTTAGTGGCTAGGACTCAGAGGGAGCCCAGTTGCTGCTGGCCACAGAACAACCCCTATAGTAGTTCCAGAGGCTGGCATGGTCACATACATGCTTTCTGCTGCCCTAAGCCAGTCTGTTTGTGTACTGTCACTCCATACCCCACAGCAGTGCTCTAGGAAACTCCATATGCCCATATCCCTCAGCCACAGAGCCAGTAACTGTAGCTGCTGTTTGCCTTCCCTGGAGCTCAGGGCAGGTCTGGTCCTCCCATGCCCTTCTACCCCACTCCCCCATCCTCCCGGGAGCAGCTGAGTGAAATGGAATTGCACAGCAGAAAGCAAATACATGAAAGGCTTGTTGTGGCAAGTGCCAGGGGCAGCTCCCCTTACTCAAACCATCACTCACTCACTCTGCAACTTCTGAGCTTTCAGAGATTTCCTGGGGGTGGTAGCTTTGGGGGCTTCCAGGTCTGTGTCCCTCTGTTTTCTGACTTGTGTCTGAGACCCCGTCACAGGTGACCTTGATGCTGGGGCTGGAACTCTAGGAAAAATAGCACAGGGCAAGCCCAGTGTGATCATATTTAGCTAGTCCCCTCTTCAGAAAAGCAGGAGGCAGGTGCACATGGCAGTGGCCACCACAGGACAGCCTCAGCACTGTAGATAGCACACTCCCACAGGAGTAGACGGCAGCCGGAACAAGCTATCCTGTCCTTTAGCAGGCCTATACCCGCTACTGATGGGGGTAGCAGACAAAAGGCAGAGCTGGTGTTTCTGCCCAAAGTTGCCCAAAGGCATGGAGAACTCTAGAGTCAGGCAGCCTGGGGTTCCCACACCTGAAGGTTGGCCTATGGCAGGCTTCAGAAAGGAGATCGATCCTTGTTCCTATCCTCAGGTGAGGCCACTGTCCTTCTACTTATAGAGCTAGGGGAAGCAGAGAGTGCCTAATGTTCCCTGTCCTCCCCCATACACCTTCTCACACTTTCAACCCTGTGAGAGGAACAGGGACTCAGCTCCACAGACACAGTAAATGTTTTGTCTGAGTGGCTGGCCTCTCCTGTGCACCTCAGGCCTGCTAGGGGACATAGAGGTTCCCACTGCTACTCTCCTACTGATGGCCCATCTGAGTGGTATCCTGGGCCTCTTCCAGCTAGATCATTACCCTCCCTCCCCTCTGCTAGGCTCCCCACCTCCCACAGGGCCTTTCTTCCACCCTTGTTCTGTAATAACTGCCATAGCTTGGAAGTCTGGCCCCTCCCCCAGAGTGCCTCTGCAGGGGCCTCAACAGGTCTTCCTCTCGAGACCTCAGCACAATCACCCAGTGCCAGACTCTTTCCACCAAGAATGACAGGTGTGACACCAAGGGGCCAGGTGAAGATGCTGGGAGTGCTCACCTGCAGCAGCTGGGTTCGAGCCTGGAGCTCCTGCCGCAAGTGGGCCACAGACCTCTGCACTTTGAGGACAGACTGTTGATGCTGCAGGAGCTGCTTCCTGCCATGGTGCAGGGACAAGTACACCTTCTTCAGGTGCTGGATTTCCCTCTGAAATTCCAGAGAAGAAAATGCCAGTTAGGACATGTGCTTAGCAGGGAACGGACATCCAGGGGCCTCTGCCTCTCCTGCAGCCTGGTTCTCCTCTCCCCTCCACAGGCCTTTTGCCTGGCCCTCCCTGCTCAGCCTCCTAGCTATTGCTTTCCTCTGAGTTTGGTCAGGAGGTGCCAGCTGGATGCAGGAGGCAAGCTGGGGTATTTATGCACCAAATGACTTCCATATGGAGTTTCCCCTCCCCACTTTCCCTCCCTCCCTTCCCCTCTCTCTTCCTCCCTCTCTCTCCCTTTCCTCCCTCCCTCCCTCCCTTCCTCTCTCTCTCTCTGTGTATGTGTTGGCCCCTGCTTCTGTAACACTGTTTTATTATAAAAGCTCCCCAAGACCTAGGAAACAGACACTGCTGTTCAATGGGGATTTGACGCTCCCAGAGGCGAAGCTACTTGTTGAGGGCCACAGTTAGCAGGAAGCTAAGCTTGGTTTACATTCAGGGATGTAGGGCCATGTGCCACCCTAGATTTGTAGTCCTCTGACCATGGGCTCTTCCAGGCACCATACAGTTCTAAGCATCACTGGAGGCTGGCAAGAGCTCAAGGATGTTCTGTGGCACAGGAGTATCCTGGTCCCCCCGACTGGAAGGGCTGCAGGCCTGCTCCCTGTGTGACCATTCTTTGTCCACGCCTACCCGTTCCTTCGAAAGCCTGCTGAGGGCTTGTTGCTGCTTTTCCCTCAGAGTAGCCTGTGCTGCTTCACGCCCCACAAGCCCCAGACACCTAGGGGAGGGAAAAAGCCACATACAGTCTTGAGAGTCTGTTCAGATAGAGAGAGAGAGAGAGAGCCACAAAGCAGGACCAGGACAGTTCTAGCAGCCAGGTATGCCTAGACAACCCCCACAGAGCAGAGTCTGAGGGCCCCAGGGTGGGGGCTGGGCTGCTACTCTTCCCTCCCCATCATGTTGATGTTTGTCTTTATGCCCTAGCTGTGAAGGCCTGAGACAGCAGAGTCTCACGCCTGCAGACCACATTCCAGGCCAGAGGTTCTCCACTGACACCAAGGACTAATCTACCCTCAGTAAGTCATGCCCAGGGTGGCATTGGGCTGTGAATAGAGGAATCCTTGGAGGCCAGCCTCAGCTGTCTCCATTTACATGTCTCACTTATGTGGAAGTCCTATGTCTAAGAAGTCACTCTAAGGAAAGTTTCTTAATGTTCATAATAGCAAAAAGTTGGACACACACTAAAGGTCTGTAATCGGGGACAAGGGGAAGGCTGATGACCTGCACTGCCCATGTGTTGGCAGTTATGTGGTAATGTGAGGCTTTCTTGCAGGTAACAGCATGTGAAGCATAAGCCCCCAGCAACACCCAGGACACACTGGACATATTGCTTGTGGACATCACAGAAACAGGGACAATGGCTGTTTTGTTTGTTTGTTTGTTTTTTGGGGGGATGGGGAGTTGTAGTTTTGTTTGGGACACTTTACTGTCTTACCTAAATTTCTACAAATGCCTATCACTGCCTAGATCACTACAGCTATCTTTGTCTGTGTCCAGGTGTGACAGGTGGGGAGGGCACACCAACAGGGGTGGAGCAGAGCCAGCCACAAGCACAAGCTTACCCTATCTGGTGCTCCAGGAAGGCCAGCTCCGCACCGGCTTTTTCTTCCAGTGCTAACTCACGTAGTCGGAGCACTGCAGTCTGGTGCTGTGCACGTAGCTCTTCGTCTCTCAGACTCTGCTCCAGCATTGCAATAGTGAAGTGGTAGAAGGTTCTGGACCTTTCTGTTCCTGACTCTGGTCTCGTTATGCCCCACTGCAGAGAGGTCGACCAACCCGGTCTTGTCACTACTGGGTCGTCTCAAGGGCTGCGAGCAGTCCCAGCTCTCAGGAAGATACCACAGACTCTAATAAGTCCTCCCTAAATGCCCACCAGCTTATCCTCCCTCATGGTGCTCCCTTCTTGGCAAGGCACCCTTCCTGACTGTAAGCTCCCAGAGGGCAGGCAGGGTCCTCATCATCCTGGACTGACACCCACCCCCAGCTAGGCAGGACACTTGTTTATGCCCTGCAGAGTTTTAGCAAGGCAGGCTGGGTTGTGCATAGCCCTGCCTAAAAATCCCTGTCGTCATGCAGGCCTTCAGCTGTCACCCAGGGTGGGAGGAACTAGCTAGGGTGGCTACCAGCTGCCAGGATGGACAATGGAATGGCAGGGTGACCCTCCCAAGACCAGGGCCAGTGTGGACACACTACCCACCACCAGTATCATATTGCCTTAAAACAATGCTGCGTTCTTCGTACTTTGTAGGAGGGTCTGTCTGAAGGGTAGAAGTCAGCTAGAGTCAGCTGGGAGCAAGCTGGGTCCTGCTGCACTGGCTCTGAGAGAGAAAGCAGGCCTTGGTTGGGTCCTGAAGGAACCAGTGACATGTGCTTTGGGCCTTTCCTGCACTACGGCCTCACAAATGAAGTATGTCTGAGGCAGGAAAGGCTCACACTCCACCTCTGACACAAAGCTTCAAACCAGATCTCAAGGCAATGCTGGAAGGGACTGGTGGCTTCTTGTTTCCTAAGCTGAGGCTCTGAAATGAGACCTACAGTTTTACACAGGACCATACCAAACACAAGGTGCTCAGGATAACAGCCCTTACTCTCGAAGAAGGGGACACTGAGGCCAGACGGGGAAGGATGTCCTGAGTCTGGCATACAGCAGGGACAGGGACACTGCAGAGCCCAAACTCCAGGCTAACCTAGCTCCCTTGCTGCTGACCCCTGTCCACCACCCTGATATGGTGGGTTTCATAGAGTAGGCGCCCTTCACCCCTAGACAGGATTTCTCTGTTTAACAGCCCTGACTGTCCTAGGCTGGCCTTGAACTCAAAAAGATCTGCCTACCTCTACCTCTCAAGGGCTGGGATTAAAGGCATATGCCACCACGCCTGGCCCAAGAAGGATTTTTAGTTAAAAATAATTAAAGGGTATTTTTTGACATCCCACAAAAAAGGGCAAAAGGAACAGGACTCACCACCATATCTGAAAATGTGTGCTTTATACAAACATACATACATTCTCACCCATATGAAAGAACATTTTTGAGACACTTGATATCAACAAGGAGGTAAGACCAACAATGACAACATCCCAAGGGACCTGGGCTTCAGCACAGGGAGTACGAACTGAGGTAGGCAGACCCCCAGCAGAAGAGACAGAACTGAGTCTGGGGAGACAGTTAGGTTTGATGGAATGGTATAGTAGAGAACCCCATGATTCTATGATTCTAGCACTCACATCTCTGATTTTTCAAGTGAGAACTGATGGTTTAGCACAGGTTAAAAACATCCACTGGGCTGGAGAGATGGCTCAGAGTTTAAGAGCACTGGCTGCTCTTCCAGAGGTCCTGAGTGCAATTCCCAGCACTTACTCGGTGGCTCACAACCATCTGCAATGAGATCTGGTGCCCTCTTCTGGTGGCATGCATGAATGCAGGCACAACACGGTAAACATAATGAATCAATCAAAATAAAAAGCATGCTGGAGGCTGAGGGTTATGTACCTCATGACTCGTGGATCACCGGGTAGCACACAGAAACACTGTCCTGCCTCATTTAGGAGGTTTAATCAGCCCCAGCCTGAGTAGTAATGATCTGGGCCCAACTGACCAGGTACAGAAAAAAGACCCAAAGGATCAGATTAAGTCCAGTATTGAGGACAAAGCTTAAGATGTATATATAGAGACTGTGGAGTGCTTAGTTCTAAATGGAATGACTCACAAAAGAAGGGCAGGATGAGTCTAGGAGCCAGGGGTAGTAGATCACTGCAGGAACCAGTGTTTCCTAGATACAAAGCAGCTGCACAAATGATCTCATAGCAATTGAGACAGCACACGAGATCTGTGCAAGCTCAAGCCAGACAAAATTCTCCAATGACAGTGGGAGAGGTGGGCAGGAAGTCTAATCATTAGCTGAGTGGCCCTAGGCATTTGATAGCTGCTGGGAAAGGAAGAACGATTTTCTTTGAAGGTGTGACCCCTGGTAGGCTCACAAGCTCCAGGGAAGGCTCCATACCCAGGAGTATTTGGAGGACACAAATTAGACTCTCTGTGTGTGAGAGGTGGGGGAGAGAAGGAGAAGGGAATGGAGAGTGTGAGAATGTGAGGGTGAGGTAGGTGGGGAGGACGGATCTGGGTGACTTGTGGAGTTTGAATATGAGCAAAAATACAGCAAAGTAGTAAAATACTATTTTTTAAAATAATCATATATAGAAACAAAAATATCTTCTACTGAGTAAAGTCCACAACACACAGTAGTAAGCACAGCATCAGGGAGTCATCAACTAAAATGAGCCCAGAGATGCATGCCTCAAGTTTTTCTAATTGACAAGATGGCTCAGCAGATGAAGTTGCCACCCAGCTTGACAATCTGAGTTCAATATTCAGGACCCATATGGTGGGAAGAGGGGGTCAATCCCTGCTAGCAATCACCTGATCTCCACATGCATGCCTGTTATACAACCTCCTCAATAAATAAACAAACACAAAACATTTAAATAGAAAACAGCTTTTCAGGCCAGGTGGTGATGGCACATGCACTCGGAAGGCAGAGTCAGACAGATCTCAGTGAGTTTGAGGCCAGCCTGGTCTACAAAGCAAGTTCCAGGGCAGTCATGACTGTTACATAGAGAAATCCTGTCTCAAAAAACCAAAATAAGAGTTTCACAACTGTATTTTTATGTTTAAAAGGGTAAGTACTCTTTGCTAGAGAGATGGCTCGGTGGTTAAGAGCACCAGCTGCTCTTTTAGAAGACTTGGGTTGTATTCCCAGAACCTACAAGGCAGCTCATAACAGTCTGTAACTCCAGTTCCAGGAAATCTGATGCCTTCTTTCCGTCTCTGCAGATACCAGGTAATGTACACAAGTGGCACACAAACATACATGTAGGAAAGACACCCATAAAATAACAATAAATAAATGAGTAACTACAACTATAGAGGACATAAGAAAAGATCTGAATAGTGTTATCAGAAGTGGGACATTTAAAACACTTCAGATGAAACCACTTTGGTTAATGGCAGATTAGACTTTGCTGAGGAAAGAACTCACAGCATTAAGTGGCCTAACATGCAGGCAATTGAAATTCCTGCAAAAAGAGAGGAGGAAGAACTACAAAAATAAAACCTGAAGGTTTCCAAATCTGAAGAAAGCGATAACCCCAATCTTAGCAAACCATCAACACACGAACAGGAAGGGAACTTGAGGCTATTGTTACAAAATTGCTTGAAAAATAGAAAAGCAGACAAAGCAAACACACAATGCCTACAAAGGAACAAAGGAGCATTGGAGTGGGTTCCTTGCCCAAGGAGCAAAGTAAACAAGAAGACACTAGGGGTGGGGTGGTGCTTCCTAGGAATGGAGCTATAACTCAGTGGCAGTCAAGGATTAGGAAACCCGGGGTTTGACCCTAGCCCTGCAACACACACATGCACACATGCATGCATTCATGCACACACACACACATTAACCTTAAAAAAAATGTCTATCCAGACCCAAACACTGTACTCATGTCTTTAATTCTAGCACTCAGGAAGCAGAGACAGGCAGACCTCTGTGAGTTGAAAGCCATCTTGGTCTATAGAGTGAGTTCTAAGCCAGTCAGGGCTACACAGTAAGACCCTATTAAAAAAATAATAAGTCTACCCAAATGCTATGACCAGTGAAGAGTATGTAAGTAACAAACAAACAGAAAACAGAATGAAGATGTTCTTGGACATATGAATGATTTTTCTTTTGTTTTTGTTACTAGTAGATGTGTATGTCAAAAATCAGATGAGGGACACAGGAATGATGTCAGCCAGATCTTCCCAGAGAAATGAGGAGTGTTAGAAATAGTGGCTGGGAGCTGGGCAGTGGTGGCGCACACCTTTAATCCCAGCACTCAGGAGGCAGAGGCAGGCGGATTCTGTGAGTTTGAGGCCAGCCTGTTCTACAAAGTTAGTTCCAGGACAGCCGGGTAGTTACACAGAGAAACTCTGTCTTGAAAAACAAAATAAATAAATAAATAAATAAAAATAGTGGCTGGAAACTGCTAACATCCTTACTCTAAGCCTGTGCATAATTTGTTTTGTTTGAGACAGAGTTCTCTGTGTAGTTCTGGCTGTCCTGGAATTCACGATGTAGATCAGGCTGGCCTTGAATTCACAGAGATTCAAACTCACAGAGATCCACCTGCCTCTGCCTCCCAAATACTGAGATTAAAGGCATGTGCCACCACTGCCTGGCTGCCTGTGTGTAATTTAAAAGGAATAAAAGAGGGCCGGGAGTTGGTGGTGCACGCCTTTAATCCCAGCACTCGGGAGGCAGAGGCAGGTGGATCTCTGTGAGGTCAAGGCCCACCCGGTCTCCCGAGCGGGAAAACCAAAAAAAAACCCCTTCACAAAAAAACAAAAAAAAAAAAAAAAAAAAAGGAATAAAAGAGAATCATCTGTTAAAAAAATCAATGCATCAGGCGTTCATGGCTCATGACTTTAACCCCACACTCAGGAGGCAGAGCAGGCAGATCTCTGTGAGTTCGACACCAGCCTGGTCTATAGAGCGAGTTCCAGGACAGTTTCCAAAGCCACAGAGAAATCCTGTCTCAAAAAAAAAAAAAAACCCAAATAAAAAAATCAATGCATGATGGGCTTAGAAACATTTTTAAGATTTATTTTTATTATTTTAAATTATGTGTATGTAGGTGTGTGTTATGTGGGTATGTACATAAGTGTGCAGGTGCCCATGGAGGCCAGGGGAGTCACATCCTCTAGAACTGGTTATGGGTGGTTGTGAGCCACCTAATATAGGTAGGTGCTGGGTCCTGAACTCTGGTCCTCTGGAAGAGCAGTATGTATTCCAAACCAGGAAGTCTTCTCTGTAGCCTCTCACTTGTGTTTCTTATTTTATGTGCATATGTGTTTGCCTGCCTGCATGTGCATCAGGTAGGTGCCTGGTGCCCACAGAGCCAGAAGAGGGCATCAGATCCCTGGCAGTTGTGAGTTGCCATACGGGTGCTGGCAGCTTCGGTCCTCTGAAGACCTCTGTTCTCTGCAAAAATAGCAAGTGTTCTTGACCATGGAGCTGTTTCTTTGCCCCCCCATTGAAACATATTTTAATGGACTAGCATAAATAAATGTGGTACCATATTAGAATAAAATTCTATGAGGGTTTTGTGCTGGAGGTGAAGAAATTACCTGTAGCCTGCATATTATCAACCCTAATGCGCTCATTGAAGCATGGAGTTATAGCTCATCATGTTTCAACAATGAAGATGAGAATCATTAAAAAGTTTAATCTAGCTGAGCAGTGGTGGCACACACCTTTAATCGCAGCACTTGGGAGGCAGAGGCTGGCAGATCTCTGTGAGTTCCAGGCCAGCCTGGTCTACAGAGCTAGTTTCAGGTCAGCCAGGGCTACATAGTGAGAACCTGTCTTGAAAAATCAAGAGGGGAAAATGTTTAATCTAGGCAGGGGGTAAGGGGGCTACACATGTAACCTCAGCATTTGGGAGGCTGAAGTGAAATGGCTCTTACGAGTTAGAGGTCAGCTTGAGCTACATGGCTCCCGGCCAGTCTGAGTTACAGAGTGAGACCCTCTATCAACAAATCAGACCAAAATTTAACCCCAAAGGAGGCAGATAACATGGGAGGGAAAAGAAAACAATAGATAGAAGGAACAAGAAAAATGAGCATCAAAGAGAAAAACTTAAACCTAATTCTGAGGATAATCCCACCCCCTGGAAATAGGATAAGCATCTCAATTAGAAGGCAGAGGCTGGACTAAAAAAGAACACTCTATTGCCCACAAATAACACACTTCAAAAACAAAGACACACAAAGAAAGGAAGAATGTGGTGAGGGACACGCTCTTTTTCCTAGTCACAGGAGAGCTGGGGTAGCCTACGAATGTCAATGTAGGTTTTGGGGGACAGGCGGCAGCAATGTGCATGAAGCCCAAATTCAACCCCTGGCACAGCATAAACCAGGCATAATAATGCATATTCATAACCCCAGCACATTTCAGGTAATCTTCAGTTACATGTGAGTTCCAGGCCACACTAGGAGACCCTAGGTGAGATGCTAGCATAGAAATATCCCCAACTCAGAAAACTAAACTTACATATAAAGTGGACTCTAGGACAAAGCTCACTGCAGAAGTTTCCCATATCAAAAGGGTCAATTCATCAAGAGCTCATCAGAATCCTGAATGTTTATGTGCTACAGCATTAATCGAACTGCCCAGGGATCTAGACAAGCCCAAAAGCTGACATTTCAGTAGTGCACACGCCCCCACCCCCCCCACCCGGCCCAGCAATAGGCAGATATGAGAAAGAAAAGCCACAAGCATGGAGTAGATCTGAGCAATTCTGCCACCAACTGGTCTACCTGGCATTGCAGAATGTTCCACCCAGCGGAGCATGCGGCATATCCCAGCAAAAGCTTGAGTGTGTATATAATCAAAAGTCTACAGACATACTTTATGGCCACCAGAAATGGCCAGAGGGGCCAAGCTTTCCAGGGAAGTGGCCGTGTCAGGCTGGGGGTGAAGCTGTAGGCTGGTGTGACTAGCTCCTTGAAGCTAAAAGCTCATCTGGGAAGCTTTATACCACTGTCCTTATCCCTGTTCTACCCCTAACCTGCCAGCACACCACACAGGACACTCACCTGCAGAAAGTGCCCTTGCTTTCTCAGGATGCTTCAAGGACCCAGTGCTGTCTCTCTGCGGGGAGGGTGTTGATCTGAAGGGTCAGGAAACCACCAGAGGCCATTGTCATTGCCAGCACCTCAAACCTGAATTTAAGCCTGCCCTCCTCTACCCTGTGGAGTCCCATCTGGTCCCAGCCTTGGCCTCACCTGGACCTGGTTGTCATTGTGTTAGGAGAGAGTGTGCTTGGCTCTAGGCCACCACACATCTGCTGCTGTCCCAGCCTCGAAGCCTTTTCTGGCTTTTGCTGGGCTGCGCGTTTCTCCATCTCCTGCTTTGAGAAAACAGTCTGATATTGCAGAGAGTGAGACAGGAAGTTTCACAGCCAGCCAGGCCAGGCTGGATCCCAGGGTCAGGCAAAAGAGACATACTGGGGTTTGTTTATCTCATACACCACAGGTCATAAGCTCTGTGCTCCAACAGAGACCCTGCTGCTCAGTGCCTAGCAGGCCCCAGTCTGGGATGAGTGCAAGGTAAACACCCCTATCTGTGACCCAGCTCTAGAACCAGCCATGGGCACCCCAGTGTGGATGTCCCCAGGACATAAGTGGCCAAAGCATCCAATCCCTTCAAACATGTCCACAGCCCCCAGTTCATGTGGTTCTGTGCTCCCTCCTAGACTGGTGAAGCCTCTCTGTATCGATGGGGCAACACCCACTTTAGAAGGACCTCAGGCTGGGTGGAGTGGAAGGGAAACTGGGCAGGGGTGGCACACCAGTTAACGCTTGAGAAGGGGCATCCCTCTGACCTTCAGCTGGTGTTTGAAGAGAAGTTCATCCAGTGTCATCTGCGTCTCCCATACCTCATGCTCTGCCCGCTGCCGCAGAAGGGCCAGCGCCAGCTCCTGCTTCTGCTGGTCCAGCTGTCATGAGAACACATAACCCAGGGGTCACCTGTGTCTTGCTGGCAACAGACTATGAGGATCACCCTGGTAGATACCATGCCTGGGCAGGGCCTGTCCCTTTCAGCAACCAAATACTCTTTCTACCCAGGGCTTCCCTATCCAGGTTGAGGAACAGGGGTGGGGGCTGCTTCCAAACTCTCAGTTCTATGTTTTGGAGCCTTCTATTCAGCATTGGGGGCAAGGCCTGCTCACAGTTAATCTCCATACAGAAGAAGCCTAAAGGTGACACAGCTGTCATTGGCCTGCTATCATAGGGCAGGACATACCTTCAGTGACTCGAGAAAGCTCAAGGATTTCAGCTGGAAATTGGTCAGGTGCCCTTCATGCAGGCCTCCAGAATGTGGCCCCTTGGGCTCCTGCTGACCTGCAGACCACGGAGGAGGGCACCTGAGTGGCAGGTATGCTCTGAGTCTCTCTCCTGGTTGAGCCTCAGCACTCACAGCTTCTTGGCCTGCAAGGAAACTGAGGCCAGAGGCCGGGAGGGAAGGCCCACAACGCAAGCACTGTGCTAGTGGTATTCAGCACTTCAAGAATGGCCACTTCCCTGCAGAATGGCCTCTCCCTTCGGGAGAGCATGACTACCACAGGGCTGTCTTCCCTCCCTCAAGTTCACTGTGCCTCACTTGGGCTGTCATTTATTCCAGAAGCAAAAATCAAGTTAGCATAGGTGACAGGAGACACCAGACAGACCCAGGCCCAGTCTCAGATCTGTTCTGCACTTTCTAGATGACCCTGAACAAATAACTGACCAACCAGAGCCTCTGGGGGAAACACAGCTTCCCCAGCCTGAAAGCCACTATTGTTGCCAATGGTGTTCAGGTGAGTTGAGAATAATCCTTGGAATTTTGGGGTGCTCCCCCTTAGGTTACAAAGTCCCCAAGGGTAACTGAGGGGGCTCCTTTTCTTTCTGATGGCCCCCCAGAGCCAATGCTCTGCACAGTGTTGGTGTTCCCTGTCCTGTGGGGAAGAGGTGAGTCCAGGACTTAGCTGTGTCTCCCTCCTGACCCATCCTTTGCCTCATTTCTTCCAAGAGTTAGCTATTGGGGGAGGACTCAGGATGTTTGACTTGGACCCTCTAGCCTGGATAAAAGGGCCTTCCTGATGGCCCTTGATGACCCTCAGCCCCTGGCTGGTCATGATATAGAATGCTAGTCTTCCCTGGCAGACTGCATGTCATCATGGACAGAGAAGCTCAGGGACTTCGAGTGGGTCAGATGTAAAGCTGTGAACACCAGCTACATAGTCCCTGGACATTACCAATGACAAAAAACAAAACAAAACAAAACAAAAAAAAAAACAAAAACAAAAAACAAAAAAAAGGACCATGGGATAGCAGGATGCAGCCACAGGACATACACTGAGCACTTGGGTACTCTTAGGGGGGCCCATATAATTGGGCACTACTCTTGGGTTGACTGAGTTCCTTTCCAGGAAAAGAGGCTTCACTACTGTGTCCAGGCCCTCGAGAAGACTAAGGACAGAGCAGGTTCCAGTACTCTGTTACTCTTCCACAGTCTCTAAAGATTGAAGCCCAAAGCCTCTAAGCCATGCATCTGAAGGGGTAGCTCCTGGTCCTCTTGGCCATATCAGCACCCTCAAAGGTCACAGGCTGCATGTCCCTGAGCACTGATCTGTGACCCAGAAGAAAACTAGGTCAGTCCCCAGCTGGGATCACCACACACAGAGAACGACCCTGCCTTAATCCCTAACTCCTCTGAAAAGACAGGGATGGGCCCCCAGAATTCAGCACTCCCTAAAGCCAGTGCTGTGGGCCCAGTGATTTGGCCTCATGAGGGTCTAGCGGGTACAGCCTGTGGGTTAATGTAGAAAGGATGATGACAGCAAGGGTGCTTAGACTGTGTGGTTCCTCTGCCCCCTGGGGAGACCTGCTAAACCAGAGAGCAGAGCTTTGCTTCTAGAAAAGCAGAAATAGGCACAGTTGGTGCTTATCTTTGTACATTTAGAGGAGAAAAATGGGGACCCAAGTTTGACCTTAAAACCCTTGTATTAAAAAAGAAAAAAAACCTGGATGTGGTGGCACACCCACGTAATCCCAATGTTTCAGAGATGAAGAAAAGCAAAGCCTGGGCTCACCAGCCAGCCAGCCTAGCCTGTGTGTCAAGTTCCAGCCAGTGAGAGACTCTGTCCCAAAAAACAAGGTGGGGGTGTCTGAGGACTATTACCCAAGGTTGTCTTCTGGCCTCTACATATGTATGCTCACATGTGAGTGTACACACACACACACACACACACACACACACACACAGCATAAAATGCTACATCTTCTTCTGTTTCACCTCTGTTTTCACGGTTCTAGGTCTTGACAGCCACACATGTCTGAAAGCTACCTCGTATCCCTCATTAAAAAACTTTCCACCATCACGGTTCTAGGTCTTGACAGTCACACATGTCTGAAAGCTACCTCGTATCCCTCATTAAAAAACTTTCCACCAAGCAGGGACGTCTAGGTGTTGAAGTCCAGAAAGTTTCACTAGACAGCGCTGCTTGTATATATTAGTGGCTAGAATTGAAGGCCTCCCTCTCATTTTTTCCTGTGACCTACCAGCACTTCTGCTCAGGGAATGGCAAATGGGGCTGAGGGATAAGACAAGGTCCCCACACACACACTTGTAAGAGGGCCACACCCTTGGAGGAGATGGCCATCTTGTTGTGACCAGGAGTTGCTCTTGACTCTCACACAACAGCAGACCCTGCCCAGTCTGGAGGAAGGGAGCATATAAACCCAGCCAGGGTGGGCAGAGCCCAGGGTACTCTGGGAATCTTGCTGACTCTCTCTGGACTACACTTTCTGTGGAGAGATAGGGCTTTCCACTGGTTTAAATGTTCCTTCTCAAATTTATGTAGACATTTAGTAGCCATGGTAACAGGGTTAGGAGGTAAGGCTTCTAAACGGTGAAGGCTTATCTCTAGAGTGGTAAAACCTTACCACTAAAGCCAGGAATGGACTTATTATAAAAGGAGGGCTGGCGTGTGAGTGTAGTGCATTAGGTGTTTGCCTTAGGTTCCATCTCCAGTATCCCATAAACAGGGTCTGGTGGCACAAACCTATAATCCCATCTCTTGGGAAAGAGGCAGGAGAATCAAAAGTTCAAGGTCATCCTTGGCTACACAGTGGGTTAAATAAATGCTACCCTGTCTCAAAAGGAAAGAAATGAGCACCAGTGGGAGGGTTTAGCTCTGTGGCCTTCTACTGTGATGGGGTAGCAGGAGCCTGGGCAGTGCTCTTAACTTTCCACCTTCTGAACTATGAGCCCACACCTCCCTGTCCATCCTAAGTCCAGGCTGTTAGAGCAGCCACTCAGAAACAGGCTGGAGACCCATGTCATACTGTCAACCTGGCAGGCTCTAGGATCATCCAGGAGACAAGCCCCTTGGCAAATCTGTGGGGTTTGTCCAGAGTATACTAACTGAGGTAGAAGACCCACCTTGTCTTTGGGTCCCAACATCCCATGGGCTCAGGTTCTGCACCGAGCACCAGCATCTGTTACTCTCTGCTTCCTTCCTGCTGATTCTGTGTGACCTGCTGCCTCGCTTTCCACTATGAGAGTCTCTACCTTTGATCTGATCAATGTCAAATACGATATCACGCTTAGTCAGTGTGGCAGGAGTAATAGGTACATGGACCACTGAGGTTTTGTCGTAGCCCTGGAGCCTAGGAGAGTTGGCAGCTGTTGCCTGAAGCCCCCAGATACCTTACTCTAAGGGAGAGAGGTGTGTCGTTCTCCTTCCCTCCTGTTCCTCCCTCCCCGAGTCAGAGGCCAGGAGCCTCCACCTGCTGGTTCTCACATGGTATAGAGCTGGTGGCCCCTCAACACACTCTCCTCTCTCTCTCTCTCTCTCTCTCTCTCTCTCTCTCTCTCTCTCTCTCCTCCCTCCCTCTCTCCCTCCCCCTCTCCTCTCTCTCTCTCTCTCTCCTCTCTCTCTCTTTCTCTCTCTCTCTCTCTCCTCTCTCTCTCAGCTCACACATAAGTGCTAAGTACACCTATCAGGTATGTCCATGGCTCTGAGCCCAGACTGAGACATTCCCCTTCTCTCTCTCCTCTCTCTCTCAGCTCACACGTAAGTGCTAAGTCACACCTATCAGGTATGTCCATGGCTCTGAGCCCAGACTGAGACATTCCCCACCCACCTGGCTGGATCTATCCTGCAGAGAAAGCCTGGTCCTTTCTGAGGCCTTGATGCCTATCCTGCAGTCCCCTGGGGCTACTCAGTCTGACTGAGGGATCTGAGCAGAGCTAAGGGTCACATTTACTCTTAATGTTTCTCCAAGGCAGGCATGATCACTTTATTGTTGTTGTTTGGTTTGGTTTCATTGTGCAGTATTGGGGATTGAACCCACAGCCTCATACATGCTAGGCAAGCACCTTATGCTTGAGCACTGTTTCCCTATTTTGTGTGTTTATTTTTGTGTTTGCTTTGTTGTTATTTTTTGTTTCTTAGGTCTCACTGTGTATCCCCGGCTGCCCTGGAACTTTGTTATTTCCCAGGCTGGCCTTAAATTTGTGGTCCTCTTCCCTCCTCCTAAGTGCTGGGCTTACGGGTTCCGTATTCAAAACCTGTTTTCTGAGGAAAATAAAGCAAATAGTAATGAAACAGTGAACAGAGTCCCAGGTTTGTTCAAACATGGTACCTATCTCCTTGCCATGCTGGGCAGGAAGCCTCCCCCTGCAGCCTACAGACCACTAGCAGGATGTACCCCGTAGGCTCCTCCCAGGATTCTGTGATTTCTATGGTCAGCAAGAGAATGCCTCATACCCCCTCCAGGTGCCGGCTCTTCAGCCCTGAGTGTCCATAGCTGAAACCTAGGAACAAGGACACTTAAGTACCAAAGAAAAGGTAGAATCTGGGCTGACAGACATAAGGAAGGAAAGAAGAGTGACACCACTGGGCTGTAGGAGTGTGGCTATTCTGGAGACCAGCGATGGCATATATCATGACAGGCGCAATAGCAGAGTAGGCGGTGGGGGCTGGAGAGCCTCAAAACACTTTAATTCTGAAGTTGGCTACTGTCCACATAGAAAAAGGCCTCTACCCTGTAAGACCAAGCTCAAGCTACACAGTGGAAGGGGGCCCCGGGG